GCTACCACGCCCGGCTGATTTTTTGATTTATTGTAGAGATGAGGTCTCCCCAAGTTGGCCAGGCGGGTCTCGAACCTGTGGGCTCAGGCAATCCACTCACCTCGGCCTCCCAAAGTGCAGGATTACAAGCTGAGTCACCAAGCCCGGCCGGAGTTTACATTTCTAACAAGTTAGAAGATAACATTGTACTGCGGAGCCTTTTTTCTTCTTTTTTAATTGATTGTAGCTTCACTTTGAGAGAACCATTGTTTTAAGCAGAAGTAGCAATATGAGCGAATACATAGAGATATGAAAATTTAGCCAGGAGCAGTGGCTCATGCCTATAATCCCAGCACTTTGGGAGGCCGAGGTGAGAGGATTGCCTGAATCCACAGGTTCGAGACAGTGGGCAATTTGGCGAGACCTCATCTCTACAATAAATCAAAAAATTAGCCGGATGTGGTGCCGCATGTCTGTAGTTCCAGCTGCTTGGAAGGCTGAAGCAGAAGGATCGCCTGAATCCAGCAGGTCAAGGCAGCAGTGATCATGAGTGTGCCACTGCACTCCAGCCTGGGTGACAGAGTAACTCTGACTCAAAAAAAACCCACAAAAACAAAACCACAGAGATATGAAAACTTTGTACATTCAGAAAACCTGTGAAAGTTTTAATATGGTGATACGATGAGAGAGAAGGCTGGAGAAGTAGGCACAGGACAGATGAGAAGGATCTTACAAATCATGCTGTTCTAAAAGCAGTGAAGAACAATCTGAAAGATTTTTTAAGTGAGAGACTTAGGAATTTTTAGGTTAGTTGCCTAAAAATCTTCATGCTGTATCAGTTAGGAACCACACTCAGCTGCCTTCAGCGGATTAAACAAATTAGGAAATTATCTTCTCATATAAAAGAAGGCAGGCAGTCCAGGGCTACTGTGACTCTCCCCAAAGTCAGCAAGGACACAGCATTCTTCATCTTTCTGTTTCCACTATCTTTAACACATTACTTCAAACCCCAAGGTTCTATGATAGCTGGTGGAATTACAGAGGACAAGGAGGACTAGGTGTGGTGGCTTACGCCTATAATCCCAGCACTTTGGGATGCTGAGGTGGGAAGACTGAACCCAGAAGTTCAAGACCAGCCTGGGTAATATAACAAGTCCTTGTCTTTTTTTTAATTCTTTTTTTATAAGTGAGTGGCTTTTCTTTCTTTCTTTCTTTCTTTCTTTTTTAAATGTGGAGTACAATTCAGGATTAGGTATATAAATGGTCATCGTATAGGTAAAGTTTGGGCCTCCCTTTGGTCTCTACTTTACCTAGTTTGATGTCAGGTACCTTTATTGATGTTGTGTCTCCCTCACACACACCCCTCATCTCTTAACAAAATGAAGAAAGAAAGAAAAAGGAAAGATAAGAAAGACAAGGAGGGAGGAGTGCTCTTCCTAACTGAGTAGTTCTTAAAAGTCTTGGAAGTCCAATAGACCACTGCTATCTTCAGGGAAACAGGAATGTTGCCAACCTGAATAAATGGCATTGAGTAGACAATGCCATGTGGTCTTTACACAAAACATTCAATCCAGGTGAAATATTTTGTTGTATGTCTCTAGTCTTTAATTACATAGATTTCATAGATTTTATGTAGTTGACATAATATGTTGAATATATCATGTATAGTTTTTTTAAACACTATTACAGCATTTTCTCATGTTATTTGAAACTTCAATTTCATAGCTAACCTTTTTTTTTTTTTTTTTTGAGTTGGAGTTTCACTCTGTCGCCCAGACTGGAGTGCGGTGGCCGCTCCTGGCCACTGCAGCCTCGACCTGCTGGGCTCCTGCTATCCTCTCCCCTCAGCCTTCCAGGTAGCTGGAACGACAGGCGTGCGCTACCACACCCAGCTAATTTTTTGATTTATTGTAGAGATGAGCACCCAGCTAATTTTTTGATTTATTGTAGAGATGAGGTCTCACCAAGTTGCCCAGGCAGGTCTCGAACCCGTGGGCTCAGGCAGTCCACTCACCTCAGCCTCCCAAGGCACGGGATTACAGGCTGAGCCACCAAGCTCGGCTTAGCTAAACATTTTAATGCAAAAAGCTTAAAAAAAATTTTATGCTTAGGAATAGTTCCTAGACATGATATTACTAGCTGAAAGTTATAGCTATTTTATTTTCATTATTATTTTTTTTTGAGTTAGAGTCTCGCTCTGTCACCTAGACTGGAGTGCAATGGCCGCACCCGGCCACCGCAGCCGTGACCTGCTGGGCTCTGGTGATCCTTCTGCCTCAGCCTTCCAGGTAGCTGGAACTACAGGTGCGTGTTACCATACCTGGCTAATTTTTGATTTATTGTAGAGATGAGGTCTCGCCAAGTTGCCCAGGCAGGTCTCGAACCCGCAGGCTCAGGCAATCCACTCACCTCAGCCTCCCAAAGTGCTTGGATTACAGGCTGAGCCACCGAGCCCGGCCAGTTATAGCTATTTTAAATATTTTCTATGCCTATTTTCTTTTAGTTTTGTGTGTGTGTGTGTGTGTGTGTGTGTGTGTGTGTGTGTGTGTTTTGGAGTCTCACTCTGTCACCTAGGCTGCAGTGCAGTGGCACGCTCTCGGCCACCGCAGCCTCAACCAGCTGGGCTCAGGTGATCCTTCTGCCTCAGCCTTCCAAGTAGCTGGAATTACAGGCATGTGCCACCATACCCGGGTAATTTTTTGATTTATTATAGAGATGAGGTCTCACCAAATTGCCCAGACTGGTCTCGAACCCCTGGGCTCAGGCAGTCCTCGCACCTCGGACTCCAAAAATGCTTGGATTATGGGAGTGAGCCACTGCTATGCCTGTTTTCAAATAATTTTTCTTTGATTTTTCCTCTTCTTTTTTTTTTTGGAGTCAGAATCTTACTCTGTCACCCAAGCTCTAGTGCAATAGCATGCTCATGGCCACCACAGCATTGACCTGTTGGGCTCAGGCAATCCTTCCACCTCAGCCTTCCAAGTAGCTAGAACTATAGGTTCATGCCACATGCCCAGCTTACTTTTTATGTATTGTAGCAATGAAGTCTTGCCAAGTTACCCAGGCTGGTCTCAAACTCATGGACTCAGGCAGTCTTCTCACCTCTGCCTCCCAAAGTGCTGGGATTATAGGCGAGAGCCACTGTGCCTGGCCTTCCAAATAATTTTTCTTTTTTTTTTTCTTTGAGTTGGAGTCTCACTCTGTCACCCAGGGTGGAGTGCAGTGGCACGCTCACTGCTACCACAGTCTTGACCTGTTGGGTTCAGGCAATTCTTCCACCTCAGGTTTCCAAGTAGCTGGGACTGTAAGTGTGCACAACCACACCTGGCTAATTTTTTTTTTTTAATTGTAGAGATGAGGTCTTCCAAGTTGTCCAGACTGGTCTCGAACCCGTGGGCTCAGGCAGTGCTCTCACCTTGGCCTCCCAATGTGCTGGGATTATAGGGGGTGAGCCACTGCACCTGGTCCTTCCAAATAATTTTTCTAAAGGGTTGTGTCATTTTACTTTGCTACCAGTAATAGGTGAGTAGATTACAGTAAATAAACTAGAATTGGATTTTTAAAAATTTTGGGGTATATCCTTAATTTTTGCTAGGTTTATAGGCAAAAACTGATACTTCATTTTGATATGTTTTCAAAATATTCCTAAAGAGGTTGAACAGATTTATTTATACTTGCTTACTAATTTTGTGTACTGTTTGAACAAAGCAGGAGTGATATAACTATGACAGCAATGTAAAGGAAGAATTGAAATAGAAATTAGGGAGAGAGAAGAGACAGAAATATCCAGACAATCAAGGGACACAATGAGGGAAAATGATGGGGATGTGAACAAAGGTGTGGCAATTTATGGAAAAGAGAATACAGATTCTCTAAGAACTTAGGAGATGGGATAAGCAAGCTAGTAATCCATTAGATGATAAGCAAAGAACAATGGAAAAGAACTCCTGCATTTATGACTCAGGATTAGGTATACAGTAGTGTTACTAATTGATAGAAATGGAAAACGGAGCAAATTTTTTGATTTATGAGAGAAGATGATTTCAGTTAGAATATCTTTTTTTTCTTTTTTTTTGGTCAGAGTCTCACTGTTTCCCAGGCTGAAGTGCAGAGGCATGCTCACGGCCACCACAGCCTAGACTTGCTGGGCTCAGGCGATCCTTCTGCTTCATCCTTGCTAGTACCTGGAACTACAGGCACATGCCACCACACCCGGCTAATTTTTTTTTTTTGTAATATATTGTAGAGACAAGGTCTCACCATGTTACCCAGGCTGATTACAAACCTGTGGGATCAGGCAGTCCTCTTGCCTCCACTTCCCAAAGTACTGGGATTACAGGTGCAAGTCACCACACCTGGTCAGTTAGAATATCTCATAGGGGCTGGGCATGGTGGCTCATGCCTATAATCCCAGCACTTTGGGAGGCCGAGGTGAGAGAATTGCCTGAGCCCATGGGTTCGAGACCAGCCTGGGCAACTTGGCGAGAGCTCATCTCTACAATAAATCAAAAAATTAGCTGGGCACGATTCCAGCTACTTGGAATGCTGAGGCGGAAAGATTGCCTGAGCCCAGCAGGTAGAGGCTGTGGTGGCCGTGAGCATGCCACTCACTCCAACCTGGGCAACAGAATGAGACTCCAACTAAAAAAAAAAGATTATCTTATAGGAAATCTGTTCTTAGTTGGAAATGTGAAAGGAGCTCAGAGGAATAGTTCACACAGGAGAAATGAATGTCACAACTAGGAGGTGGTTATGATCATGATCATGATCATGATCATTCAAGGAGAAAGAAAAAGGAAGAAGGACATAATATTGAGGACCATCGATGTATAAGGAGCAAGCAGAAGTGGTAGAGACAGCTAGAAAGACTAGAAGGAGAAAATCAGGGATCCAGTATGGCAGTGGTTATGAGTGTCAAAATCACTGAGGCCTGCTGGGTGTGGTAGCTCATGCCTGTAATCCCAGCACTTCAGGAGGCAGAGACGAGAGGATTGCCTAAACCTATGGGTTCTAGACCAGCCTAGACAACTTGGTGAGACCTCATCTCTACAATAAGTCAAAAAAAGTAGCTGGATATGGTGGTGCATGCCTATGGTTCCAGCTACTTGGAAGGCTGAGGCAGAAGGATCACCTGAGCCCAGCAGGTCGAGGCTGTGGTGGCCGTGGGCATGCCACTGCACTCTAGCCAGGGTGACAAAGTGAGACTCCTACTCAAAAAAAAAAAAAAAAAATCACTGAGACCTGAGTATGAATTCTGACTGTTTTTTTCTGGCAGTGTAACCATGAGCTAGTTATTCAACCTTTCTGAGCCTCAGATTCCTCCACAGTGGAGATAATGAAATATCTGCCTCTGCTGGGCTCTGTGGCTCACACCTGTAATCCTAGCACTTTGGGAGGCCTAGGTAATAGTAGTCAAGGCCAGCCTGGGCAACTTGGTGAGACCTTGTCTCTACAATAAATCAAGAAAAACTAGCCAGGTGTGGTGGCACATACCTGTAGTTCCAGCTACTTGGAAGGCTGAGGGAGAAGGATCGCCTGAGGCCATAGGTCAAGGCTGCGGTGGCCATGAAAGTGCCACTACACTCCAACCTGGGTGATAGAGTGCGACTCCGATTCAAAAAGAAAAAAGGAAAGAAAAGTCGAGCCGGGCTCAGTGGCTCAGCCTGTAATCCCGCGCCTTTGGGAGGCTGAGGTGAGTGGATTGCCTGAGCCCATGGGTTCGAGACCCGCATGGGCAGCGAGACCTCATCTCTACAATAAATCAAAAAACCAGCCGGGTGTGGTAGCGCATGCCTGTAATTCCGGCTACTTGGAAGGCTGAGGCGGAAGGATCGCCGGAGCCCAGCAAGTCGAGGCTGTGGTGGCCGGGAGCGGCCACTGCAGTCCAGTCTGGGCGACAGAGTGAGACTCCAACTCAAAAAAAAAAAAAAAAAAAAGTCAATATAGGCAGATAGTATGGTGCGTGACTCAGAGTGGGTGCTCAATATCGTAGCTCTAGGTAATCAGTAGGAAAATAACTAAACACAAAAAAATGTCCTGTAAGCCAAAGAAGAAAGAACAGTATTGTCAAAGGTTGCCAGAAAATCAAATAAGATGAGACTGCAAAACTTTTTTTTTTATTTGACAGATGGGTAATTGGTGATCTTTAACCCTTGTAAGGGTATATTCATTGAAATAGTGAAGCTGGAGCTCAATTATTTGAACTACTGATAAGTGTGGAAATACACAGTTATACTTCCATCTAGAAAAAAGGCAGCATATTGTAGACTTCTCCTAATTTCATAATCTACTCACAGAAGAGCCAGGAGTTGACTTGTTGTCCTCGATAATATTTTTGAGCATGCAGCAGGCTGTGGACTCTGAAGTAGTCGGTTGCCTTAAAAATTTATCTGCAGTTAGATGGAGTAAAATAAATAGAAATATAGTTAATAGATAGTCCTTAGCCCCCAAAGCCTTAGCATCTTCTCAGGAGAATTTGGAATTCAGTGTACTACTACTGCTGCCCTTTTCAGTTTCTCTTGGACCATAGTGAGGTTTACTCTGGTTTTTTGTACTACTTACTTCAAGTATACAGCTTTGTAATTTATTATTGAGTCTTCATTTCTTGAGGAAAAGAGTGTGGGAATTTTTATAAAACTCAGATTTGGGCAATTTTGGGAGGCATCATATTTTCTAATGGTTTTAGAATTAGCATTTTATTAACCAAATGAATTGTTTTCTGTGACAGTGAAGAACATGGAGACAGGCCGAAGTGTCCCAGGAGTGAAGATGTTTTTTGGGCATGAGATTGTGAATGGTGAGAGTTCCATGTCTCCTGAATGCTGTTATTGGGATCCATAAGAGTAGTAAACTTACTGCTCTGCCCCATTCCAATATTTGAAATGAAATGGTGTGTTGTCTTACCTTTAATATTGCATTTGTGAATTCTTAAAGTTGGTATTTGAGAATTGACCCTTCTCTTACTGCTTCTGTGGGTACTCTGTGAGCAGAATAGTCTTCTAGAATTGTAATTATTTTGGTTTTACCATGCCAGGCCTCCTGGTGCTCATGAAGTTAGGAACCCAAACAGGAAGGAATTGTTTTGCTAAGCAAGCCATTCAAATGCTGCAGCTTCACAGTCCATTCACAATTCCTTATCTGAAACATTACAGCCAAATGTCTCAGAATCCAACATTGTTCTGGAATTTTAGAAAATGTAACACAGAGTATATATACTGTTCATATTACATAATACCTTAAAAAAATCTGAACAGCACTCTATAATACAACACATTTCTTTAGAGAAACAGGTAGATAATCATACCAAGTAGAATAAATAGGTCTATAAATAGCATGTTAAGTCAGGTTTTGTCACCACAAGAGTTATAACAAAATTTTTATTTATTTATTTATTTATTTTATTTTTTGAGTTCGAGTCTCACTGTGTCACCCAGGCTGGAGGGCAGTGGCACACTCCTGACCACCGCAGCCTTGACCTGCTGGGCTCCGGCGATCCTTCCGCGTCAGCCTTCTGAGTAGCCGGAACTACAGACGCGCACTACCACGCCCGGCTAATTTTTGATTTGTAGAGGTGAGTTCTCGCCATGTTGCCATGGGTCTCGAACCCACGGGCTCAGAAAATCCACTTGCCTCAGCCTCCCAAAGTGCTGGGATTATAGGCTGAGCCACCAAGCCCGGCCTATAACAAAATATTAACTTTTGGATTTGGGAATTGCAGAAAACATCCCTGTTCTTTATTTCTGCTAGCACAAACCACTGAACAAGAGTAGGTACAATTGTTTGCCAGAAAGAGTGGCTGTAGAAGCTCATCTGGTCACTGTAGTGTGCTTCAGACAGGTCAAGTAGGATAAGAGAAAACAGCATTTCTTACTTTCAAGGACTCAAGAGCTTCTGCTTCTGCCCTCCAAGGAAGAGTAAAGTTAGTAACTGGCTGGAGGGGCCAAAGGAATGGGAGCTCTGGAACCTCTTAGGCTGTGCATTTCTCACCTTTGGGGCACATCTGAGGAAAGGATAGGACTACTATAAATAAGAATTTACTACTGCTTAGAAGATTGCTTTGCTTTGTGAGAAAACTAGAACGTACGAAGAGATGGAAATCTCACCAAATTAATGACTGCCAGTGCAGAATCACTTCACGGTAGCCAAGTCTAGACAACTACCTAACCATCCTTTCTCACTGAATATGCTTTTTATGACTGGGCATAGTGGCTCACACGTATAATCCCAGCACTTTGGGAGGCAGAGGCCAGAGGATTGCCTGAGGAGCCCAGGGGTTTGAGACTAGCCTGGGCAACTTGGCAGGACCTCGTCTCTACAATAAATCAAAAGTTAGCTGGGTGTGGTGGCTCATGCCTGTGGTTTCACGTATTTGGGAGACTGAAGTGGAAGGGTCACTGGAGCCCAGCAGGTCAAGGCTGCAGTGGCCATGAGTGTGCCACTGCCCTCCAGCCTGAGTGACAGAGTGAGACTCCAACTCACAAAAAACCAAAACGAAAGCAAACAAACAAACAATAAATAAATAAATAAAACAAAAAGGACCCGGGCACAGTGGCTCATGCCTATAATTACAGCATGAAACCGGACTCGGTGGCTCAGCCTGTAATCCTGCGCCTTTGGGAGGCTGAGGTGAGTGGATTGCCTGAACCCACGGGTTCGAGACCCACCTGGGCAACTTGGTAAGACCTCATCTCTACAATAAATCAAAAATTAGCTGGGCGTGGTAGCGCGTGCCTGTAGTTCCAGCTACTTGGAAGGCTGAGGCGGAAGGATCGCCATCACCCAGCAGGTTGAGGCTGCGGTGGCTGGGAGTGGCCACTGCACTCCAGTCTGGGCAACAGAGTGAGACTCCAACTCAAAAAAAAATAATTCCAGCACGTTGGGAGGCCAAGGTGAGAGGATTGCCTGAGTCCACAGGCTCAAGACCAGCCTGGGCAACTTGGCAAGACCTCATCTCAACAATAAATTTAAAAAATTAGCCAGGTATGGTGGTGCAGGCTTGTAGTTCCAGCTACTTGGAAGGCTGAGGCAGAAGATTCACCTGAGCCCAGCAGATCAATGTTGCGGTGGCTGTGAGCAGTGTGCCACTGCCCTCCAGTCTGGGCGACAGAGTAAGACTCCAACTCAAAATAATAATAATAATAAATAATAATAATAATAATTTTCAATATGACGATGGATAGTGGGTCATCAAAAATTTTAGTGAATTTTACTTTTCTCTGCCCCAGATTCAATACTTTAAGATAGTGCAGAGAAAAGAGACATTTGAGTGGGGGCATGGTGGCTCACGCCTATAATCCCAGCACTTTGGGAGGCTGAGTGAGAGGATTGACTGAAACCATGGGTTCAAGACCTCATCTCTCTCTTTTTTTTTTTTTTGGAGTCGCACTACGTCACTTATGCTGGAGTACAGTGGCATGCTCACAACCACCCCAGTATCGACCTGCTGGGCCCTGTGATCTTTTCATCTCAGCCTTCCAAGTAGCTGGAACTACAGGCGTGCGCTATTGCACTTGGCTAATTTTTGATTTATTGTAGAGACGACGTCTTGCCAAGTTGCTCAGACTGGTCTCGAACCCACAAGCTCAGGAAATCCACTCGCTTTGGTCTCTCAAAGTGCTGGGATTACAGGCTGAACCTCTGAGCCTGACCTGAGACCTCATCTCTACAATAAATCCAAAAATTAGCTGGGCATGGTGGTACATGTCTGTAGTTCCAGCTACTTGGAAGGCTGAGGTGGAAGGATCATCTCAGTCCAGCAGGTCGAGACTGCAGTGGCCATGATTGTGTCACTGCACTCCAGCCTGGACAACAGAGTGAGACTTTAACTTAAAAAAAAAAAAAAAAAAGGCCGGGCTTGGTGGCTCAGCCTGTAATCCCATGCTTTGGGAGGCCCAGGTGAGTGAATTACCTGAGCCTGCGGGTTCAAGACCCGCCTGGGCAACTTGGCGAGACCTCATCTCTACAATAAATCAAAAAAATTAGCCGGGTGTGGTAGCACGCGCCTGTAATTCCAGTAACTTGGAAAGCTGAGGCAGAAGGATTGCCGGAGCCCAGCAAGTCGAGGCTGCGGTGGCTGGGAGTGGCCACTGCACTCCAGTCTGGGTGACAGAATGAGACTCCAACTCAAAAAAAAAAGGTATTTGAAACACAGAGGCTTTTTCCTTGGAAGATACCTAAATGTACTTCATTGAAACTAATGGTAAGATACACTTTTACTTATTGCACTGTAAGAAAGAAAAAGAAGCTGCCAATTACAATGTGTTTCTTAGAATCAATGAAATAGCCAGGCTCAGTGGCTCATGCCTGTAATCCCAGAACTTTGGGACACTGAGGCAAGAGAATTGCCTGAGCCCAGGGATTTGAGACCAGCCTGGGCAACATGGCGAGACCTCATCTCTACTGTAAATCAAAAAATTAGCCCAATGAGGTATAGCGTGTGCCTTCCAGCTACTTGGAAGACTGAGGCAGAAGGATCACCTGAGCCCAGTAGGAGGCTGTGGTGGCCATGAGCGTGCCACTGTACTCCAGCCTAGGTGACAGAGTCCCTGACTCAAAAAATAAATAAATAAAAATAAAATACTTCAGAATCTCCATGGTATAAGTCTCTCATAATTCCTTTTGGATTTCCCTTTTAGCCTTCATTACCTTTTATGTCACTGAACTATTAATGTACCAGCTTGAATGTGTCAACCTGGGAGAGTGGCAGGGACAGATGTGAATAATTTAAGGGAAAACCCTCAAACAGTACATGGTGTGGGGGAAGGTACTTTAGAACTGGAATGAGTGGGTAAGAAATCTCTAGAACCAGTGTCATTGACCACAACAGTGCCCTGAAACACAAAGGGTAAAGGGAATATATAGACAAGTTCCTAATCTTGCTAGATAAGTGTACTGTTTGCAATACATAGTCAAACTGGGTGTGTGGGGCTGGGAGCACGAATTGCTTTCAGATTGAAGACTCTGTTGGAAACCATCTGGTTATTTTACAGTGGAACTGGTGGATGAAATGGAGCAAGGTACAGTGAGAGAAAAGCCATCTTCTCTTAGGTATGATGAAATACTTTTCTTAATTATGACATTTCCCAAATGTGCACATTAGGATAGAAAGTCTGGACTCTATCACTAGCTGCTGGATTCCTAAAATGGTGTCAGGAAATAGAGAAGAAAAATATAGATGTTTTCTTCCATTTTTAGATAGCACCCTCAAGCCAATGTAAGCAGTGAAGTGGGTGCTACAGTTAATGGAGGCCACAGTCCTTACCAGTAATATGTGGCAAAATCAGCAACATAGAACAAGTTCACCTGAGTGTTGTTTTTTGTAAGGATAGTCTAAATACAGAAAGATCCAGGATGGATAAAATGAAAAATGAAGACCTATATGTATGTGAGCCTGCTTCTCCTGCCCCAGAGGCACCAACCAATTCTCTGCTGAAGGACCTCAAATACAGCCCATCAGGTGAGTACTGGGGCTCTGAATTTTCTAGACTCCATCTATTTTGGTTCAGGAATCTTTAGAGGTGGCATAACCCAAAATCAAGATTCTATTTTTAATTTTTTCATTCTACAGGATATACTAGTAGATTAGATGTGGACGCGAGAAACAGGAAGGAATAATGGATGACCAGGGGTTTTGGCCTGAGCAGCCAGAAGTATGGAGTTGCTATTAAACTGAGACAGGAACGACTATAGGTGGAAAAGGTTTTGGGGAGATGATTAGGCATTCAGTTTTGGTCAACTTAAGTTTGGCCGAGTGCAGTGGCTCATACCTGTAATCCCAGCACTTAGGGAAGTGAGAGGATTGTCTGAACCCACAGGTTCGAGAACAGCCTAGGAACATGGAGAGACCTCATCTCTACAATAAAATAAAAAAATTAGTCAGGGGTAGTGGCACACACCTGTAGTTCCAGCTACTTGGAAGGCTGAGGCAGAAGGATTGCCTGAGCCCTGCAGGTCAATGCCGCGATGGCTGTGATTGTGCCTCTACACTCCAGCCTGGGCAACAGAATGAGACTCTGACTCAAAAAAACAACAAAAAAAAATCTGTATGTCTTGGTATTTGAAATACAAACCTCTGAGGTGGGAAATATTACTGAATTATCACAGAAAATTAATAAATAATTCTATTTGTAAGATTATCAGCCAGGCGTGGTGGCTCATGCCTATAATCCCAGCACTTTGGGAGGTTGAGGTGATAGGATTGCCTGAGATCACAGGTTCGAGACCAGCCTGGGCAACATGGTGAGACCTTGTCTGTATAATGAATTTTAAAAAAATCAGCCAGGCATGGTGGTGCATGCCTGTAGTTCCGGCTACTTGGAAGGCTGAGGCGGAAGGATCGCCGGAGCCCAGCAGGTCGAGGCTGTGGTGGCCATGAGCATGCCACTGCACTCCAGCCTGGGTGACAGAGTGAGAATCCAACTTAAAAAAATATGTATATATTAACATTGGTGGGGCTTTGTTCATTCTCAATTGACCGGATGTTAATTAGCATTCTCTGTGTGATGGGTTGATGCGAGTGATCATAAAATAACATTAGATATTTGAGTTGCAGTTGAATAGGAGCATAAATGTCTGGCCAAAATTAGTTAGAAGACTATTCTGTTGCCAAGGAAGAAAAATATATCTAATACCATCCTTGTCTTATAGAGGAGGAGGAGGTGACATACACAGTCATTAATCAGTTCCAGCAGAAGTTTGGTGCTGCAGTAAGTATTGTCCTCAATCATTCCCAGTATTGTCTGTATATAGGTATTATGTCTGTGTCTCAATTTTTTTATTATAAAATCTTTGATAGTTTTCTTATTAATTCAACAAAATAAGCCAGGCTCGGTGGCTCAGCCTATAATCCCACACCTTTCGGAGGCTGAGGTGAGTAGATTGCCTGAGCCCGCGGATTCAAGACCCGCCTGGGCAGCAAGACCTCATCTCTACAATAAATCAAAAAATTAGCCAGGCATGGTAGCGCGCACCTGTAGTTCCAGCTACTGGGAAGGCTGAGGCAGAAGGATCACCGGAGCCCAACGGGTCGAGGCTGCGGTGGCTGGGAGCGACCACTGCACTCCAGTCTGGGTGCGACCACTGCACTCCAGTCTGGGTGACAGAGTGAGACTCCAACTCAAAAAAAAAAAATTAAATATAATCCACATGCCATATAGTTCACCTATTTAAAATGTACAGTTCAAGCAGGCATGGTGGCTCACACCTGTAATCCCAGCACTTTGGGAGACAGAGGCGAGAGGATTGTATGAGTTCGGCATTCAAGACCAGCCTGGGCAAGTTGGCAAGACCTTGTCTCTACAATATTTTCAAAGAATTAGCTGGACATGGTGGTGCGTGCCTATAGTTCCAGCTACTTGGAAGGCTGAGGAGAGAGGATTGCCTGAACCCAGCACATCAAGACTGTGGTGGCCACGAGTGTGACACTGTACTCTAGCCTGGCTGAGTGAGACTCCATCTAAAAAAAAAATAAAAATAAAAATAAGGCCAGGCTAGGTGACTCAGCCTGTAATCTCAGCACTTTGGGAGGCCGACGCGAGTGGACTGCCTGAGCCTTTGGGTTTGAGACCACCCTGGGCAACTTGGTGGGACCTATCTCTACAATAAATCAAAAAATTAACTGGGCATGGTAGCCTGTGCCTGTAGTTCCAGCTACATGGAAGGCTGAGGTGGAAGGATCGCCAGAGCCCAGCAGGTCAACACCGGGGTGGCCGTGAGTATGCCACTGCACTGAGCCTGGGCGACAGAATGAGACTCCAACTCAAAAATAAATGAATAAATAAATAAATAAATAAAAATATAGCCAGGTGTGGTGGCTCAACCTGTAATCCTAGCACTTTGGGAGGCCAAGGTGAGAGCATTGTCTGAGCCCAGGAGTTCAAGACCAGCCTGGGCAACTTGGTGAGACTTTGTCTCTCTACAATAAATTAAAAAATAAAAATAAACTGGGCATGGTAGTACATGCCTGTAGTTCCAACTACTTGGAAGGCTGAGGCAGATAGATCACCTGGGTTCAGCAGGGAGAGGCTGTGGTGGCCATGAGTGTGCCACTACACTCCAGCCTAGTTAACAGAGTGAGACTCCAACTCAAAAAAAAAGTCGGCTGGGTGCAGTGGCCTGAATCCAGCAGGTCAAGGCTGTGATGGCCATGAGCATGCCACTGCACTCCAGCCTGGGTGACAGAGTGAGACTTCAACTCAAAAAAATAAATAAAATAAAATGTACAGTTCACTGGCTTTTACTGTATTTACAGAATTTTGTACATCATCATAATGAATTTTAGAGTATTTTCAATACCCCAGAACAAAACTTCATGCCCCTTGTCACTCCCAAACCCCCCTCAGCCTCTGACAACCACTAATCCACTTTTTGTCTCTACAGATTTGTGTGTTCAGGACATTTTATATAAATGGGATCATACAATACATGATCATTTTTGTGATTAGCTTTGTTTACTTAGCATAATGTTTTCATGGGTCATTCACTCTGTCGTTTGTATCAATATTTTACTTATTTTTATTGCCAAATAATCTATTTTATGGATATAATATATTTTATGTAGCCATTCACCATTTGATGGATTTTTCAATTGTTCCTGCCTTTTGGCTACTGTGAATAATGCTATGGTGAACGTTCACCTACATGTTTTTTTTTTGTTGTTGTTGTTTTGTTTTTTGGGTTTTTTTTTTGAGTTGGAGTCTCACTCTGTCACCCAGGCTGGAGTGCAGTGTCCGCTCCCAGCCACCGCAGCCTCGACCTGCTGGGCTCCGGCGATCCTTCCACCTCAGCCTTCCAAGGAGTCGGAATTACAGGCATGCGCTACCACGCCCGGCTGATTTTTTGATTTATTGTAGAGATGAGGTCTCGCTGCCCAGGCGGGTCTTGAACCCGCGGGCTCAGGCAATCCACTAACCTCAGCCTCCCAAAGGCACAGAATTACAGGCTGAGCCACCGAGCCCGGCTCACGTACATGTTTTTGGGTAGACATATGTTTTTATTTATCTTGGATAGATGCCTAGCAGTGAAATTGCTAGAACATATGATGACTCTATATTTAACTTTTTTGAGAATGGCCAGACTGTTTTCCAAAGCTGCTTACCATTTTACATTTCTATCAGTAGTATATAAGGGTTCCAATCTCTACATCTTTGTCAGCACCTGTTATTATCTGTCATTTTGACTTTAGCCATCCTGGTAGATGTAAAGTGGTATGTCATTGTGATTTGATTTCAATTTTTCTGATAGCTAATGATGTTGAACCTCTTTCCATGAGCATACTTATATACTTGTGCCCATTTGTGTAATTTCTTTGGATAAATATCTATTTAGCTTTTTTGCCATTTTTAATTGAGTTGTAATGCTTCTATTTATCATTGAGTTGTAAGAATTCTTTATGTATCAGCAGATTTGTTTTAAAGGGTCAATGATAACAATAATGAAAAAATGGGGTAAGAACTTTTGCTCTAGAAGTTTGAGGAGGTAGTTAGAAATTCTTATCAAGCCAGGCGCAATGGCTCAAGCCTATAATCCCAGCACTTTGGGAGGCCGAGGTGAGGGAATTGCCTGAACCCACAGGTTCTAGAATAGCCTGGGCAACTTGCAAGACCTCATCTCTACAATAAATAAAAAAATTAGCCAGGCATGGTAGCATGTCCCTGTAGTTCTGGCTATTTGAAAGGCTGAGCCGGAAGGATCACCTGAGTCCTGCAGGTCGATGCTGGGATGGCCGTGAGCATGCCACTACACTCCAGCCTGGGCGACAGAGTGAGACTCCAACTCAAAAAAAAAAAAAAATTCTTATCAACAGGGAAATCTAGCTTTTTTTGCCACTGCTGCAACTTTTTGTTGCTCAAGGATGAAACTGAAATTCAGTCCCCTTTTCTCATCATTGATGAGAGATGCTCAAAATATAGAACACTTGATGCTTTCTAGAATAAAATATTGTGCTAGTATAAGTTGGTATGCCCGTCTATTCTCTAGTAATGTACCTACCTATAAAATGGGGAGATGCTAGGCATACTAGTGGCTTTGCTCTTTCAGTCTCAACACTTTGGGAGGTCAAGGTGGGAGGATTACATGAGCCCAGGAGTTTGAGACCAGCTTGGACAACATAGTGAGAACCCCTCCCATCTCTACATGAAATTTTTAAAAATTGGCATGGCATATTGGCACATGCCTATAGTCCCAGCTACTCAGAAGGATGAGGTGGGAAGACTGCATAAGCCCAGGAGTTGGAGGTTGTGGTAAGCCATGATGGTGCCACTGCACTACGGCCTGGATGACAGAGTGAGACCCTGACTCAAAAATAAAATAAAATGGGGAGAATCTTATATCATGCAGATATTTTTTTTTTTAGTTTAAAATATTTCCTTTTATCTCATCATTTTAAAAGTGGGAATTATAGAAATAAGCTGATTTTTTTTTCATTAATCGGTATTTTTTATTATGGTTTTGTGGGGTACAGTTAAGGGTTAGGTGTACAATGACGTTTCATTCAGGCACCCTGTAGATAAGAAGTGTTTTCCCATCCCCCGACAGATATTTGCTACTGTTAATCCCATCCCCCTCCCCCCCATTCATGCAGATATTTTTATATCATATAGATGAAGGATTTTAGAATCACATGTTTAGGATAAGATTATAGATAATCAGGCCATTGCCTTACTGGACTCTGATTTGGCCATGTGCTCTTTGAGCTATGGCCAGGCTATGTTTTTTTTTTTTTTTTTTCAATTGTGTTGGAGTCTCACTCTGTTGCTCAGGCTAGTGTGCAGTAGTACGCTCACAGCCACTGTAGCCTCAACCTGCTGGGCTCAGGCAATCCTTCCACCTCAGCCTTCCGAGAAGCTGGAACTACAGACACACACCACCACACCTGGCTAATTTATTTATTTATTGTAGAGATGAGGTCTTGCCAAGTAGCCCAGGCTGGTCTTGAACCTGTGGGCTCAGGCAATCCTCTCACCTCAGCCTCCCAAAGTGCTGGGATTATTGGCATGAGCCACTGTGCCAGGCCTCAGGCCATATTCTCTTAAGCTTTGGTCCCCTCCCTTAACTTGGGAAGGTGAATCTCTTCTTTTTCTCTCTCTTTCTGATTTAGTTTTTAAATAAACTATATTTTCTAATTTAAAAAAAGTTTATGGATAATCAAAGTACAAGAGTGTCTTCCTAGGTACCACTAGTTCAATTTTGAGTTCTATGACTTCAAGACCTGAAGGGACCTACTGGGTCCTTATTTCTGTCATTCTGAACAGTAGATACTGTGAGACTTAGGCACTACATGTGCTCCTTTAGGTACAGTAAATTGCCCTGTGTTAGAGGATGACATTGTTTGCATGAGGAATCTCGTCATAAAAATTAGAATTCTTTCTTGACAGCATCAGTGGTAACAAGGTGTCTGAGTTTTCAACTCTTTTTAGCATTTGGGGTATGAATGAGTTAGTTTCCAGGTGTGGAATAATTTTGCTAAAACTAAAAAGATGATCGGAAGTGTTCAGTGATGATTTATGTGTATATGTGAAACAAACTCTATGTTTTGGATTAATCAATGCTTTAAAAACATGATCCACTTTGTTTATCACTAGCCATTTTACTAACCATTTATGATGTTATAATGCCAACATTTTTTCCTTGGAGATTTTTCCTTTTCTTCTATTTCTTTCCAGATGCTCCACATCAAGAAGCAGAGTGTCCTGAGTGTGGCATCCGAAGGAACTAATGTGTGTCGTCATGGGAAATTGTGTTGGCTTCAGGTACGAGATTGTTGTTTTTTGTTTTGTTTTGAGAAACAGGGTTTTGTTCTGTCATCCTAGCTGGAGTGCAGTGGTACAATCATAGCTCACTGTAACCTCAAACTCCTAGGCTCAAGCAATCCTATCATTTCAGCCTTCTAAGTAACTCGGACTACAGACATGCTGTCATACCTGGTGAACGTTTTTATTTTTTGTGGAGACAGGGTCTCATTATGTTGCCCAGGCTGGTCTCAAATTCCTGTCCTCAAGTGATTCTCCTGTTTCAGCCTCCCAAAGTGCTGGGATTATACACATGAGCTACCATATCCGGCTGAAAACTTTTTCTTTCGAAATAATTATAGGTTCACTGTAGATGTATTTATTTACACCAAAAAATCAAAGGCAAAGATAGATTTATTTGTTTATTTATTTATTTATATATTTTGAGTTGTCTCCCAGGTTGGAGACTCTGACTCAAAAAAAAGTTTCTTCTCTTCTGGGGTTATAGCTATGCACAGTAGGTTTCTACCACATCGTTTTAGTTTCCCTGGACTGTGAGACCTGGAACTGGGAGAAAGAAGATGAGGGTCCCCATTATATCAAAAGAAGTTTGTGGTGAGCCTTGAATAGCTAGAAGACTAGAGGATGGGTAGCCACTGTCAGAGCCAATCCAGAAGAATCAGTATTTAAGGGTGATCAAGAGAGCAGGCTGAATCATTAGCCAGTGTCTTCTATGCTTTGAGTCGGGATCTATCTCCACTCACTGAGAGAATATTTATTTATTTATTTTTGAGTTGGATTTTCACTCCATCACCCAGGCTGGAGTGCAGTAGCATGATCACAGCCACTTCAGCATTGACATGCTGGGCTCTGGCGATCCTGCCTCAGCCTTCTAAGTAGTTGGAACTACAGATGTGTGCTACCATGCCCAACTAATTTTTGATGTATTGTAGAGACAAGGTCTCACCAAGTTGCCTGGGCTGGTCTCGAACCCACAGGCTCGGGCAATCCACTTGCCTCGGCCTCCCAAAGTGGTGGTATTACAGGCTGAGTCACCAAACCTGGCCGAAAATATTTTTTATTAGAGTTGGCAATCTGTCCTCTTAACTCTATCTGAAATGCTTACCTTCTCCAGGGTAAAGGAATGGAGGTATCTGAGCCTAGTTTTGCTCAGGTATTAGATAGCCTCTCTATTATTCCATGCACTTAACTTAGTAAACCTTCACTTTTAGGTAACTAGGTTTGAGTTAACAGCACAAACACAAATCACTTAAACAAGCCTAGATTTCTGTCTACCAAAACAAAAGGGTAGACTTCCTAGACAATTATTTTCTAACTTGTTCCCTTTGGTTTTTTAGGTACCAGAGGAGATACCAGTTGATTACAGCTGTCCTTTATGTGCCTGGAAGCAAATTAACAGGCACATTTTCCCAATCAGATTCTTGGACTTACGTGTTTAATTTTTTAAATCAAAGTATCATGTGCACTGTGTATTAAAAGCAAAAAAAAAAAAAAAAAATCAAATAATGTTAAAAGATTTATAACGAAAGAAAAATCTCCACTTTACTTACTCTTCAGAGGCACTATTTAAAAAAAAATAATCTAATAACAGGATTTGTTAAAAACAAGCATATTTTGTGTAGTATTTAACAGTGTACAAACCACTTTGATAAAAAAAATTTCATTTGCAGAGGCAACTACTTTTAGCATATTGAAAATTTTATTTCTGGTATTTTCCTGTTTTTGTTTTTCTTCCAAGACAATGTAAAAAATGTGTATTCTTTATTTTTTTATTAATTAATTAATTTATAGCTGGCCTCAGTGGCTCAGCCTGTAATCCCGCACCTTTAGGAGGCTGAGGTGAGTGGATTGCCTGAGCCCGCGGGTTCAAGACCCGCCTGGGCAACTTGACGAGACCTCATCTCTACAATAAATCACAAAATCAGCTGGGCGTGGTAGCGCATGCCTGTAATTCCGGCTACTTGGAAGGCTGAGGCGGAAGGATCGCCGGAGCCCAGCAGGTCGAGGCTGCGGTGGCCGGGAGCGGCCACTGCACTCCAGTCTGGGCGACAGAGTGACTCCAACTCAAGAAAAAAAAAAAAAAATGAGCCAGGCGTGGTAACGTGCACCTGTAGTTCCAGCTACTCAGAAGGCTGAGGCGGTCCGGAACCCAGCGGGTTGAGGCTGAGGTGGCCGGGCGCGGCCACTGCACTCCAGTCTGGGCAACGGAGTGGGACTCCAACTCAAAAAAAAAGAAACAACAAAAAAAGAAAGTTTAGGAGTGGCCGGGCTCGGTGACTCAGCCTGTAATCTCAGCACTTTGGAGGCCGAGGCGAGTGGATTGCCTGAGTCCGCGGGTTCAAGACCCGGCAGGGCAACTTGGCGAGACCTCATCTCTACAATAAATAAAAAATTAGCCAGCCTGGTAGCGCACCTATAGTTCCAGCTACTTGGAAGGCTGAGGCAGAAGGATTGCCGGAGCCCAGCAGGTCGAGGCTGCGATGGCCAGGAGCATGCCACTGCACTCTAGTCTAGGTGACAGAGTGAGACTCCAGCTCAAAAAAAGAAAAGTTTAGGAGTGAAGAAGTAGAACTATAGACTCAGATGCATGTTATTAGAATCATAAATGTTTTTGCATATTTATGGCATGTATTGATTTGTTCAGATCTAATTGTTACATATGTAGTAAACTCTCCCTAATCTCTTCTACCATAGAGATACAGTCTAGTAGATAGTTACTTTCTAAGCTTTTATAATATGTCTGTTCAATTTTTATAATTAAATAGGCAGGGGAAAAAGAAGGGATTTGTTCTTTTAGATGTTAAATTCTAGCAAAAGCCATGAAAGTTCAGAGAATGGGTGCCAGGTAGGTCTGGCAATTGTAGCTGTAACAGCAGTTCAGTATCTGAAATGACAAAAATGGCATCAGATTGTCACAAGGCTGACTTTCCAGACCCACTTGGACCTTTTTTTGCCTTCATGTTCTGTCTTAGTGGATCTTCCAATTATGCTGCTTTGTGATTTCTGTGATTAGAAACAATCTAAGCTGGGTGCAGTGGCTCAGCCTGTAATCCCAGCACTTTGGGAGGCAGAGGCGAGAGGATTGTCTGAGTCCAGGGGTTTGAAACCAGCCTTGGCAAATTAGTGCTACCTCATCTTTACAATAAGTCAAAAATTAGCAGGGCATGGTGTTGAGTGCCTATAGTTTCAGTTACTTGAAATGCTGAGGTGGAAGGATCACCTGAGCCTAGCAGGTCTAGGCTCCGGTGGCCATGAGTGTGCCACTGCACTCCAGCCTGGGTGGCAGAATGAGACTCTGACTCAAAAAAAAAGAAGCAATCTAG